CCTGAATACATCTTCAGCCACTATGCCATCAATGTCGTATCTTCCATCCATATCCGGTGGGATCATGGACCTACGGGATGGAAACTGATCGCTCGTTTGACATGGTAACAACTTGGATGCGTGGAAAACTGGATACGTGTGGAGGTGTGCTGGGAGTTCTATGGTATAGGACGGTCCATCTTYGCTGCCTTTGACTTCTAGGACTGGCCACGGTCCTCTATAGGTGGGTAGTAACTTCTGCGAGATGTTCTCCTCAGGTGTAAACTCTTTAGAACTGACTCTTGCCATGCCTGCTTTTGACTTGAGTGTCCATAAAATCTATTGACACTGAGTCTCCCGGCTGATCCGGAATGGGCAAGGGTCTGAGAAGACCTAACGGGGCACGCGTAGAAGACTTGTTWCGCTGGCAGACCTTACAACTGCGAACATACTCTACGCAGTCATTCTTCATCCCTGGCCAGGTATACGCGCGCATCAGATTGGCTAAGGTCTTTTGCCAACCAAAATGACCCTCTGTGTCGTGGCATTCTCCCAAGATCAGACTACGGATAAATTCGGTGAGGGACGTAAATGAGGAGTACGCAACGGGATCATCACTACAGTTGGCAGCGCGAACTAGGGACCTTGCAAAACTGGCGGCCTCATCTCTCAGTGCGTGGATAGCAATTAAGACTTGCTGATCTAGGGAGACCTGTTGCAAGTGCACATAGGTCTTAACGTTGGCCTCCCAATTGTCAAAGTTTTCCTCCCTCTTCCCGCTGTAGGAATCGGGGAACTTGACTTTGACAGGCTCCCGGCGAGGAGGACGTGCTTCCTCCTCCTTGGGAGCTGCCGCCTTGACGCCTTCAATGGCGCCGGCGCAGAACTGCTCAGTCTTGTCGAGGCGGTGACCCACCTCGACTCCAACGGCGCCTACCAACTCACGAGCGAAGTCTCGAAAGCCCAATCGTATCGAGCGCACAGCTATGTCCTGACTTCTGCTAAAGTCATATTGGTMTGCCTGAACCCGTGCCAGGCATGCGACGCTCCGCGCTATGACTCGCATCTGATTCGGGAGATCTGGCTGGGCGGCTAATTGCGTCTCTATGTTCTTCACCTCTTCTAAGGCCTCTGCCGCCTCCGCTGCCTTGTCAATTCTCCTCTTCTTCTCCCTCATCACCGCTAATTTCCATTCCATCTTCTTCTCGTCTTCCAACGCTTGACGTTTCAGAGGGTCTTTCTCTACCTCCCAAGCCTTCATGCCGGCTTCTTGCTGATCCTGCGGGATGTACATACTAACCTCTTCCTCTTCTCCCACAGTCAGGTTGGCAACCCATTCAGAGATCCTCTTCTCCAGGTTTCCACCGGTATTACTACTGGGCTGCCCACTACTCCTTTGCAGTGGTGGTCCTTCCTCTTCTTCATCCACCTCCTTCAGCTTCTCTTCTTCCTTTTTCAACTTCTCTTTCTCCCTGGCCATTTCTTCTTCCATCTTCTTCAGTTTGGCCGCCTGCTCCTCCTTCAAGGCCCTCTTCTTGGCCTCCTTCTTCTCCTTCTTCTCCTGTAGAAGGGCGGCCATCTTCTCCTCCTCCTCCTACTCTACACGTGAAAGTGGGCCAAAAGCCCAGAGGAAAGAGGAGACGCCAGAGGGTCCCCCAGAGGGAGAACCCAACAAGTACCCCATACATCGGATAGTCATCCATCGTGGTGTTGGTGCACGACAGGGGTCCCACTCCTCACCACGTAGACCTACCCGGACACACTGACCTACTGACTGACTCCCTAAGGACCACAGACAACTAACCCAAGACTACTCTAAGGCTGTCACTACAGA